TGTGTTCAGGTTGGTCCATGTTTTGACTAGGGTCTTCCATATGACTCCAGTATCATGCAGTGGCCTGCCTCCTTCACTAACATGGCAGGATTTTAAGGATTGTTTTTTTAGCCTTATTTAATATATAGGTTGCTGGACCTTGCCCCCTAGAGATTCTGATTTATTAGTTCATAGTTTATAATCAAAACAACTTAAAAAAAAAAAAAAGACAGGGTTAGCTGTGTTTGTTGTGTGAGTATGCCCTTGTTTAGAAAGACACCGATACCCTGTTCTACCCACACAAGTATCCTACAGGAGGGAGACCAGAAAATCTGTTCCTACAAACCTACCAGTGATTCTAATGTAAGGCTAACATTTAGAGTCTCCAGATCAGATAACCTTTTAAGGTTCCTTCTACTGCTGAGGTGCTACAGGATTAGGGGTACTAAGTGAGTAAATGCTGCCCTCTAGCGCCTTCTATGAGGCACAGCAAAATTCCTTCCTACAGTTGGTGTGAAGGGACAAGACTCAAATCATGGCATGTCTGTCAGAATTTTTTTAAAATAAGGCTATATGACCCATAATGCATACGTATTGGCAGGCCAGGAAGTTTCCTAAAGAAAGTCTACTAGAATAATTGTGGTGCTGCAGCATTATAATGGAAGCAGGGTCTGGCTTAAGCACATTTTCTTTGTAATTGTGGGTAGCCCTCCAGAGGCCATAGAGGCTTTGCATCTTCTTCATCTCCTTGTTCACTGTTGACTCCAAACCATGAAGCAGGAAAGGCAAGTGTGATGACATTCATATCGTTAAAAATGACAGGCTTGGGGCTGACAGGTGGTGCGGAGGTTATGGCACTGGATTCCCACATGGCTGACTCCTCTGTTTGAGACCTGGATCTAGTGGCTTGAAAAATCATGCAGGGTGTGTGTCTTATGTGCCCACGATTCTGAGAGGAGAATGGAGGAGAAGGAATTGTGGTGTGGCCATCCCCCCAGGAAGTCATTTCTCACTTTCTCTCTCCCTCTCTTTGTCTCTGGAGCACACATGTGCCTTATAGCCAAAACAACTTAATAATAATAAGAAGACAGGCTTAGCTGTGTTTGTTGTGTGAATATGCCCTTGTTTACAAAGACACTGATACCCTGTTCTATTCATACAAGTATCCTCCATAACAAGTACCAAATTAGCAAAGAAATCCACGCCAAAGGCCTACTCTGCGAAAAGGCCTAGGACCGTATTGGGCTCAGCACTTGGATCTCGCTTCTCAGCTGAGACTGCGTTGTTGGAGAGGAATTTGCAGCAGATGATTTTAGAGGCTAGGTGAAATGACAGTGATTATGGCTTATCTGTAAAGTAAGTAGAACACCTGTTGGAGCAGGTGCAAGATTTGCAGAATATGGTTCATTTTGCCTGTGGCAAGAATCAGGCTAGTGGGAAACAGAAACTGTTGCAGTAACACAGAGGGCAGCAGCAGTACCTGGAAGCAGGAGCTGATTGGAGAGAAGTAATACAAGCGATTAGATATCCAAGCTACATTGTAGGTGCGTTGACCTGCTACTAGAAAGCTGAAGCAGGACCAGCGGGTGACGCGGTGGTTAAGGCGCTGGACATACCCACATGACTGACCAGGGTTCGAGTCCTGGACCTGGTGGCTTGCTTCCTCACTTTCTCTCTCTCTCTCTGTCTCTTTCTGGTCAAATTAAAAATAAATAAATAAATAAATAAATAAATAAATAAATAAATAAATAAAATTAAAATAAATAATTCTAAAAAAAAAAAGAAAGCTGAAGCAAGCTGCTTTTTAATTTGCTTTTGTTAGCCTGTTATTCAGTGCAAAAAGTCTTTGTCTTTGTGTGTGTGTGTGTGTGCATGTGTGTGTATAGCTTTATTTAGTTTTGTTTACGTTTTTGCTGTAGGGCACGTGTGCTTACCAGAAAGAGACAGAGACAGAGAGAGCAAATGTGAAAAATCACCACCACCACCACCACCACCACCCCCCGAGGCCATGCTACAATCCCTTCTCCTACATTTTCCTCTAGAGAAATGCACACGTAATGCTGAAGCCACCAAGACCAGGAGTAGAACTGTAGTTGGCCATGTAGGGGAGTCCATTTCTTTAACCACTATGTCACCTGCTGGCCCTGATCTTCCTACATTTTAAAATTTAAGATAGATGTTGAAACAGCTCAAATTCATTCATCTTCAGGTGGGACGCTTCTTAAATTAATACAAGGACCTATTTTGTTTTGTTTTTGTTTTAAGAGAGATTTTTGCTAGAGGGCACGTGCACTCACCAGAGCAACAGAAAAAGAGAAAGTGAAAGTGAGAAATCATGCCTTAGGGGAATGGTCACATCACAAACCCATCAGAATCCACCATTCTCCTCCTGGGATTTTGGGCATGGACAATCAAATGCTCGGCATGAATTTCTTTTTCTTTTTTTTTAAGATTGTATTACTTGATTTTATTTTACACTAGGTACTGGGCACAGAGCAATTCTCCTTAATAAAGTTGACAGTTAGCTTTGCTCAGAACATTTTTAATAATGCACATTAAAAAAAAAGTATTCATCTTACAAATTGTTCTGCACTCCAAATATACAATAGCTTGGAAAACAACGTTTAGAAAATAAAAGCCAATGTGAAGAGACAGATTAAAACAACTAGAAGAGTACAGGTTTTTATATGGTTCAGATGTTACAGTTTTCTTACTGCATCATCAATGTCAGAAATCTGTTCCTTCAGCTGGCTCCATTGCTCCGGATTTAAAGAAATACCTTTTCTTCCTGGTTTCATTTCACCTTCTGGATCCATCCAGTATTCCCTGATATCAATTAGAACTTTCCCTTTAAAATCCTGAACACTGACTTATCTCATTTTCCCAATTTGAAACATGTTATCATCTCTGCTGCTGCTGCTCTGTTTGGAAGATGACAGAGTTCTAGAAGTTTCACCAGTCTTTTGCTTCTTTACAGGTTTTTCTGGAGCAACTTGCTTTTTCCTCTTTAACTTCTTGTCAACTTCACTGTCAGAATCACTGCCAGAAGAGCTTGATGAAACAAGTTCCTTTGATTTAGGCATTACTCCGCTCCTGCTATCCAACAACCTCCTGCTCGTTTGCTCCCGACTGACCTCGGCATGAATTTCAAGCCTCTGGGTCTAGGACTCAAATGAGGGTTGACCATGTGGGAGTCCAGCGTCTCAATCACTATGCCACCTGCTGGCCATACTTTTCTTTCTTTCTTTCTTTCTTTCTTTCTTTCTTTCTTTCTTTCTTTCTTTCTTTCTTTCTTTCTTTCTTTCTTTCTTTCTTTCTTTTTCTTTTAGAATGATCTTATTTAACTTTTTTTTTTTTAACTTTTTATTTATTTATTTTTAATTTGACCAGAAGGGGGCAGAGAGAATGAGAGAGAGAGAGAAGGAAAGTGAGAAAGCAAACTGCCAGGTCTGGGACTCAAACCACGGTGGCCATGTGGGAGTCCAGCATCCTTAACCACCACAACACCTGCAGACCCCATGATATTTTGTTTTTATATTTGTGAAAAACCCTTCACTAGTCCATTTCTTTGTGAAATCATTGTCCAAATATTCTCCCTTATTGCTATTAAAATGCCCTCTTGCTAATGATTTTTTTGGGGGGGAAGATTGTTTGTTTTATAATTGTGTTTAAGATATACTCAATGCAAAACTAGACATTTTAATAATTTTAATTGCATAATTCACTGGCATTAAATACATCCACTATACATACATACAACTATCACCACTATTCATTTCCAGAAATTATTCATCATCCTAAACAGGAACTCTGTACCCATTAAACAATAACTCCCTGCCTTCCACAGCACCTGGTAAGGTTGTATCTTGCTTCATATGAATTAGTCTTCTCTTTGAAACTAGATTTTTGTCTTAAGAGCAGGCAAGCAACACAACTGCAATGTCTTTGTACCCTTGACATTGCCTAGTTCAGGGCTGAGCACATACATACTGAGTGCTCACCACTCATGTTTGGTGGAGGACCAGATGCTGGAAGAAGAACTAAATAGCTCTTTCAGAAATATTGAGCCTAAATCCCCTCTTATCAGAGAAAGACATTCTCAAGGGAATTTAGAAAACCTGGGGTGTTGGAGGCATACCATAATGTCACTGGGCCCATGAAGTTAATGTTAATGTGTGAGTCAGTGGACATAGGAGTGGTGGAGACTAGGATTGCATGGGGGGAAATCCTGCCCTGCCTTAAGGTGTTCAAGTTCAGATTTTTATAAAATTATCTTTTTTTAGCTAAAGCATTCCAAACATGGTGGATTCAACAAAAGAGCCATAAATTTGTGACTTTTAATCAAAAGACTTGCCGGTAATCTATCTCCAGGACTTGAATATGTGCTCAAAGATCTGCAGAGGCAATTCTGGAAAACCAAGCCTTAGATAGAGCTCTGGAAATGGGCCTCATTCCTGTGCCTCCATAGAAAGTAGTGTTTACAACCTCTTCTTCCCCATCTCCAGCTAGACCACACAGATTAGGAGGATTTTCTCAAAAAGTTTTTTTAGGGAACCAGCAGTTGGCATAATGGCTGTGTCGCTGGACTCCCACGTAGTCGACCGCGGTTCACATCCCGGACCCCGTGGCTTAAAATCACGCCAGGTCTGGGACTCGAACCCTGGTCGACTACATGGGAGTCCAGCAAGATAGCTATTACACCAACTACTGGTCCCACCTCTCTCTCTCTTAGCGCATACATAGTGTACATGAAGACTCAGTTATGTGGGGTTAGGTACCAGACCACTGGAGTAAAGGTAGAACTGAGCCATTAGGGTACATGGACTAGAGAGAGCATGGGAAGGTCTATGCTGTCAGTGACCTTAATACCTTTCATGCCAGGTTCTGCAGCCCTTACAGACAAACAGACACCCTCATCTGAATAACCACGAGTGTCTCTAAGACAGAGCAAGACCTGCGATGCTAGGCCTACCTGTGGAACAGGAGGGCTTTGTGATGCGGTCTGGTGGTCTGCACCCATCTTCTGTGAGGCAGAGATGACAAGGTCTAGAATCTGAGGCATTAGGTTCTAAGACCCTGAAGCCTATGAAGAGGGATGCCTAGTGAAATTTAGATCATGTTGAGTCCTACCTTTGTTCTATGGGATATTAGATATCCTTTATACACCTGTGGATCCATCTTCATTATTGCATTAATTATCTGGAAAGTGAAAAAGAGACGCCGAGAATTAAGGTTGGGACCTAAGAGGAGCTGTTGCCGGGTAGGGAAACACTATAAGCTTGACAGAATTAATATGCCTCAAGATTTTATAGCCTTACTTTCTCTTGTTATGCCTACCCTATTTATTCATTCATTCATTCATTCATTCGGGATCATGGAACAGCTCCCAACTTAGTTGATTATCTTGGTTGGTGACCTTTGAAGGGTGAAATCTTTGGGCTACTAGAATCACTCATCCTTTAATCTGTTCCAGTTTTCCTCCTGTCTCATTCTTAATTCCTCATAAAACTTGTCCAAGAAATGGGGTGCGGGAGGTATAGAGGATGGAATAGCCTCATACTGAGTTAGGGATAAATAAGAAGGAAAATGTTTGGGTGAAAAAGGGTATAGAATGGAAAGTTAGAAAAGTATGTAAAATTATAATACAGAAAAATGACTGGGAAATGCCCATGGGGTTTATTTCATTTTAAACATGAAAATATAATAGTATCCCAGAAAAATAATCTATTGTTTTTGTCTTTAAGCATCACCAAAGAGTCCAACAACAGTCTAAAGACAGAGTATCAAAAGGTAAAAATCTCAGTTTCCGGTCTGACTCCCCTCTACTGTGGGCAAAGTTCTCATGGAATCTGTCTCTTGACCCCTTTATAACCACTGAAGACTCCAGCTTCCCAGTATCAGTTTCTTATAGATGACTTTCTTGGGTGGAAAATCAAAGTCTTGGAACATTTCAAAATTCTTTACCTTACCCTCTTGAGAATGAAGGATGAGAGCATGGAAGGGTCTAGGATCTTTAACTGTGTCATTTACTTGTTTTATTACCGTTGGGAGTCTCTTCATTTCTCAGTTTTGTTTTCCATTAAATGGACATAACACTGATAACCCTGGCTTACTCACAGTGTGGTTATAAAGAGCCAATGAGAGTAGGTATGGGAAGGCACACAGCACATGATTAAGCTGTACCCAGATGTGACTTAGAGCATTGATCCTTGAGGTTTTCAGTCTCTTATTCAAAGACTTCCAGCTTCCTATAGGATGTCCTTGAATCCTCTCCTATTCATGTAACACTGTCTCCTGGTTCCTTAGCTTGGAGAACTTCCCAGGAAGAAGCCGAGAAGCTGCAGAAGCTGCTCTCTGTCATGAAAAGGTGATATCTTGCTTTTTTGCAGTCTCCCAACCCCCAGCTTGGCCTATGATGATGTCTAGGCTTCACCTAGGGCAGGGATGAGGTGATGGATGATGGCTGGGAGGGAGACATACACAGTGCAATCTGGTTCACTGGCTGAGAAGATTATCAAGGGCAAAGGGGTGTTGAGACTTCTCAGGAGGAGCAGTCACTCAATTTACTCTGGGCTAAGGTCACAGTGATTCTGGAATTCAGGATCTGAGTAAGTGCAATTCATAAATGACTCTATATGGGGTTGCACTCAGCCACAAGACAAGTTATCCAGTCAAGAGAATGGATTTTTCATAAAAAGTTCATCACTGTCACATTCTCTTTGCAGCAACACCCTTTTGTGCAGATTCGAGTCTGGCGGGTCCCTGCTGGCATTACCTTCTCTGGTTGTTTCTTCAGGAGGCCTGTTTCTGGGACATTCTTCAGATAGAAACCTATCATTTAGCCTCTTCTTAAGATTTCTAGGGAGTGAGGCTGATTCCCAAGAAATGCTGTGAACAATGGTGGGGATGTCCCAGAGTCCTCAGAATGCAGAGTTCCCACGAGGACCTCATTTTCTAGTTTGGATGTATTGAATACCAGGCTTTGGCTTTCCTAGCCCCAAATGAGACCAATCTGGATCTTAACTGGTGATATTCCTGGTGAAGCCCAATCACCTAACCTCTTGGCTCCCCACCTGTTCAATTCCTTTCTCTTTGTTCAACTTCCTAACAAGCTCAATTGACCCCAGCTCTCTGTCCTCCATGACAGCTGTGCCCATCTATGGGTTGTCTGAGACCTTGCCAACAAGCCCCAGACCCTCAGCCCACCATATCATACCTTACCAGATGCCATTTCTTAGCAAGAAAAGCATAGGGGTAGACATTCAGGGTGTAGAGCCCAGAATTTGCAAGTCTGGGAGAGGACAGTGCCAGTCCTCGGGGCACATGCTTCCAAGGAAGCAAGTGTCACCCCATCACTAATGGTTGCCATGTATCTTCCAGCCAGGGCTGGCTTCCTCAGGAGGGAAATGTGCGGCGGCTCCTGTGTGCAGATCCCTGCTGCCAAATCTGCAATGCTATGGCTCTGGAGATTCATCATTTGCTGGTAGGCGAGGACAAGATCTCGCCCACTTTACTGGGGCCATCACAGGACTCCTCCGGCCTGTCCATATCTAGTCTTTCTTTTGAGCAAAGTCAGGAGTTGGGTTCCCAGAACTCCAGACAACTTTCACTGGGATCTGGAACCCCTAAACTGTCTCGATTAGTGGATCAAAAATCTCTAACCCAGTCAGCAGCCCAGTCAACTGGTGCAGTCAGTGACCAAGATTTCTGGGCTGAAGATATTCGACGAAGGCAGGGATCTCATGGACCAGATGTGTCCCAGGACCTGGCAGCTTTGTCTTCTTCAGAACTTAAGCACCCTGTGAACCAGCAGAAGAGGAAGAACAACTCTACATTTGTCCCGGAAAACCAAGGTCAGCAGCCCTTGAACACTAGAGTTCCTTTTTTTCTTTTTAAATAATCGTTATTTATATTTATAAAGCAAAAATTACAGAATTTTTAAAAACAGAGAATGTTACATTCTTTTGTCTGTTAAATGTTTCTTCCTTTGCCCCTCCAGCCCATTCTTTACCACCCACTATTTACCATCCACTCCTCTCCCTTATAGTCTCTGATATCTATACTTAACTTCTCTATGATCATATCTTCAGATCTTTCAATTTCTACAATAGAGTGCAGATATTCAGTACATATTAAGTGGGGATATATAGTGTCTCTTTTAAAGTTTGGCTCATTTTGCTCAATGTGTCCACTTTGAATCAAACGATAGGGTCTCATTGTTTCTTATGTCTGAGTAATATTCCACAGTATATATGTGCCACCGTTTTTCAACCCAGTCATCAGTTTTGGGACAGTTAGGTTGGTTCCATATTGCAGCAATTATGAATAATGCTGCAATAAACACAGATATGCAAGTGTCTTTCCAACTCAGTGTTTTCCTATCCTTTGGGTAAATACCAAGGAGTGGGATTGTTGGGTCATATGGAATTCTATTTGTAGGTTATTGAGGAACTGCCATATTGTCTTCTATGGGATTGTACTAATTTACAGTCCTACCAACAGTGTAAGAGGTTTTTTTCCTCACCACAGCCTTGCTAGCACTTGCTGGTTTTTTTTTTTTTTTTTTTTTTTTTTTAAATATTAGCCATTCCAGCTGGGGTTAAATGGTATCTCATTGTGCTTTTAATTTTCATTTCCTTTATGACAAGGGGGACTTTAAACATTTTTTCATATGTCTTTTGGCCATTTGTAATTCTTCCTTGGAGAGCTGTTTATTTAGCTTAGTTGCCCATTTTTAATTTGATTATTCTTTTATTATTTTTTTTTAAATTTATGAGTTGCTTGTGTTCCCTTTATATTCTGGTTATCAGTCCCTTGTCTGAAGGATAATGTCTAAATATTTTCTTCCATTCTGAGGGTTGTCTTTTCACTCTAATTTTTGTTTCCTTTGATGTAAAGATTTTAAGCTTGATGTAATCCCACTTGTCTATTTTGGGGATTATTGACTGCGCTTTGGGGGTCTTATTTAAGAAAGCTCTGCCTATTTCAAAGTTTCCAAGAGCTTCTCCTAAATTTTCTATCAGTACTTTTATAGTTTCAGGTTTTATATTTAAATCTTTGATCCATTTTGAGTTGATTCTTGTTCGTAGTGAGAGATAGGGGTCCAGCTTCATTTCTCTACAGGTGGATATCCCATTCTTCCAGCCTCATTTGCTGAAAAGACTTTCTTTTCTCCACTACATTGTCTTACACCCTTTGTCAAATATCAGTTGGCTATATGAGTTGGGTTTTACTAGAGTCCTTTCTTTCCATGAACCCAGAACTCCTGAACCTAAAAACAACACTATGCAACCTTGAATTCCCTTCACCTGCTGTCCCTATGTTCCAAAGGCCCTGAGATACTCTTAAGTATAGTAATATAAATAACATGCACTTTCACTTGATGGTTCCCAAGGTCTGTGGGGGAACTCCTATGACAGCTGATACTACATAGTTCCCAGTATTTTCAAAGCATAGAAAACAGAAAACCATTTCTTTTATCCTAAATGCTACAACTAAGGCCTCTGTTGAAAAGATGGACTTTCATCCTTTTCACTCTGGGGTTCATGGGAGGCCAGTCAGTCCACTCAAACTTTCTGGGTTTTTGAAGGGTCGTGATTTAGAGCAGAAATGTAACTTTGAACAAATCCCAAACTCCATAGTTCTAGTTCTGTCCTCTCCCGTCTTTCAGCTTCTGAGCGATCTTTGTTCATTGTTTGGTGACTACACTGGGACCTCAGTGTGCCACCTGCAGTTATGTTTCCATGGTTTCCTTTTCTGCACACTGAGTGTCTGGTCAGCTTCTAGAGGTCTCTCCACACCATGGGAGCCCTGGGCCCATACTCTTCAATTATTTCTCCTTCATCTCTGTACTACTTAAAATTTCCCTCACTTCACTTATTTCCACATTGTTTCCCATATTCCTGAATTTGGGCTTCTCCACCTAACCATTGACAAGTCCACGCTAATGTCCCATTTCTGATTCTAGCCAGGTATAAAGAGTTTGAGTGGAACCTGTTGTAGAGGCAGCTCCAGCTTCCGTAAGGCTTGCCAGCTCTTGTCCAGAGATCTCTGTAAATACAGAGAACCATACGACATAAGCCTTGAGACTTGTTGCAGCCCATCCCATCAGATTCAGGGCTCTTTCTGATTAAAGAAGCACATTTTACTTCTCAAGAGAGAGGTAGCATTCACCTGGAGCATGGAGAGGCTGCAGAGGCTGCTGCTTTTCAGAAGTAATTGAAACAGCAGGTCAATTTACCATTGCTGGGATCTTCTCCAAAAGGTCTAGATCTGGTCAGTTGCTTTTATGCCCTAGCAACTAGCAGCCCCTGCCTTGGAGCACAAAGCTCTAACTCATGTGAGTTTTCCCTAGCCTGTAGACCTAAAAGACAATGGGAATAGTGACTTCTACTGATCCACTATGACAGCAGGGCCAGTCCATAGTTGCTCGCTCAGGCCAAAGCAACGTTGCAGAGTCACATTACTAAGTCTTTGTCCCTGCCCACACCTGCAGTTGTTAGGACTGCAAATCACTGTGTCTGCAGCAACTTGGTTTCCCTGTTTTCTGGAAAGCAGGCCCTTAGACCTGGAGGCAGCAGTTGGCTCCTACACAGATTAGGCAGTGATGCCCTAAATACTGACAACCCAACCAGCAGCAGCAGGGCTCACCAGATACTGTTATTGATGACCCTAAGTACCTGGGTCCTGTTCCAGGGAGCCACTGTAAAATCTAAGATGACTTTATGGCACAAGTTTCTGGCTTTCCTGTCAGAGATGTCTGTTCTCAGTTATGTGGCTCACTCCAGGGCCACGGCCCCAATAATCACTAGCCAGTCAATAATCACAGAGATGGTGCCTGGGTCCATCAGAGCCTCTGGTTGAATCTCATCTGGACAGCAATGTATAAGTCCTAGGTCACACTTTCAAGATCTCATTGAGACTTAGTGTACTAGTGTTCCAGGCTAAAGTACAAGTGAATGGAGACAGTCCCTCTAGAGAGCCAGACAGATCCTTATAACCCCTAATCAAGGCACGCAGCTTAGCAAAAGAAAATTTCTACCTGAAAAAGAAATTCCTGGAGATACATTCGTGAAGTCCCATAAAGACAATGGAGTCATCTCAAAGACTATCTCCACCTACGGGTCCTTTAGGAGTTTTAACAACCAAGGAAAAACATTGTTCCAGGAACTCCATATCCCACCAGACATCCCATGTGCCCCAGATATAGAATGGGTCCTCCTAAAAGATCAGCTTGTAGGTGCACTAAAGGCAGTGCAGCAGAGCCAAATTAGCTTAGTTCCAGAGCACTGCCACTTGGTTCTGTCTACCACACCTCTGAGATCTCACAACCCAATGGTGACATGACAGAGGCCCAGCTGCTTTGTATTCATGTGGAGTGTGAGCAACTCAACCTGGACACCTCATTAGCCTAGGCCTTTGCAAAGTTGAAGATAAGTCCTTATCTCAGCAGAGAAAAAAAAAATACCCAGTGAAATTCAAAGCAGCAGAAAATCACAGAGAATGGGGTATAACGTTGGAGGCTCTCCCCAACCAGAAAGAACATTCAGTGTGCTGAAGTTCAAGAGCTAGAGGGAAATTTTCTAAGTAGAAACCCAGAGCTCTTGACTTACCGAATATATCTCCAGGATATTTCTCAGGTAGAACTTTCTTTAGTCAAGATGGTTGCCTTGAGCAAGAGGGAATTAGCAAGGATCTGTATAGATCTGCAGAGCCGCTTTCTTCACCTTCTCAACTTGCTGTTCCATGCCAGCACTTTGACCAGCTCCCTTCACCTTGAGTTCTCAGAGCATCCTCCAGGATTCCCTGGGACAAAAAGCCCAGATAAGAATGGTCTATAAAGCTGTTAGAGTAAGATAAATGGCTTCACTCAAAACAAGTATTCCTAGAATACCAAACTCAGGTGCCCAGGCCTCAAATAGCCATACCTTACAGGGCCAACCTACTAGGACATGATTTGCTGGGCTGAATTTTGTAAGGCCAGTGTTTGAAGGGACCATGTTTTTCAGATCCAAACTTTTTGGAGTCAAATGTTTCAAGGTTATGTCTCACAGGGTGAAATTTTGCAAGGCCAAAATTTATATTCAAGGGACAAGAGTTACAGGGTCTTGTGAGGGCAGTCTATACTCACAAGAGCTTTACTCTTACAGAAGCTCCAGAAGTTGGCTTGGGAAATAACGTGAAGCTATTTCTGCACTGGATTAATCCGGAAGTGAAAGGTGAAAAACATGAGGAATCCACTCTTCTCTCTAAGAGTGAGACAGTGGCGACAGATAAAACAAAAAAGCTTGGGAAGGGTTTAAATCCCACCAAAGGCTCTGTTCAGGAAGCTAACTCAAAGAAGACAATGAAGGAGGGCCGGATCACCTTCGATGCCCCCAGTGCCTAGACAATCAGCTTCAGCAACACTCCCTTCAGTCCAGCCACTCCTGGGCTCTGTGCTGCTCCCACAACTGCTCCAAACTCTATCCTCAACAGCCACAAAATCAGAGAATCTATCCCAGGTCTCAATTTTCACCTCAGCAGAAGACACTGGTTTATACAAGGAGATACCCAAGGGAGTTTGTAGGTCCCAAAACCTCTATATCCCCATGAAAAATGTTGTCACCATTTCCATTAGTATGCAGGTGAAGCAAAACTTTCTCCAAATATACTCTATACCTCTAAGAAAACAGCCATCTGTTTATGCCTCTTTATTTTCAATGTAGTATGGGATGGAGAGTGTAGAGGAAGTAGAAAATACTTCCCATGTGGTACAGGAGCTTAAATCTACATTTTATTTCAGATGAGTCAGCATTCCACACAAGTCCTCCCAGCCCCATCCTGGATAAAGTGTCCTGCGCAGAAAAGGAAGGCCTTCTGATATTACAGATGTCAAAACCAAATGATAGTATCTCCCATGTCTTTTCCCTGTTATTGAGATCTTTAGTGAAAACCCACCTGGGAGCCTGCTTTGGCCCCATTATGACTCCCATTGGCTTTCAGTGCATGGCATGAATGCCTCTTAGAGTGAAGATCAGTTGATGAGGAGGTCCCCAAAAGGGTCACAGTAGAAATTATTTTGACTGGGCCAGCAAGTGGCATGGTAGTTAAAGTACTGGATCCCACACGGCTGACAGCACAATTTAGGTCCTAGAACAGGAGGCTTGAAAAAAACACCAAGTGCATGTGTGTGCATGTTCAAAATCCCAAGAAGAGAGTAGAGAAGGGATTGCAGCATGACCACCCCCCTGAGGGGTGATTTCTCACTTTCCTTATCTCTTTCTCTCTCTCTCTGATGAGTGCACACACCCATGACAAAAATCTAAAATAATAATAATAAAAAGGTTTTGGTCAAGTCTTGCACTCAAATATTCAAGTACTTACTATGTGCCAGGTACTATCCCAGAGGAGAACATGAACAATACACAGGCCTTCCTGTCATGGAGTTCATAGACTCATGGAGTGTAGACAGTCATGTAAAAAGTCATTAGAAGCAATGTGATAAGAGCTGGTTGGAGGAATAGGTGAAAGTACATAGAAGGGCACTTAACCTTGTTTTCTTTTCTTTTTTTTTTTTTTGAGAGGTTTTCGCTATAGGGCGCGTGCGCTCACCAGACAGACAGAAACATAGAGACAGAAAGCGAGAAATCACCCCCCAGGGGAGATGGTCACACCGCAATCCCTTCTCCTCCATTCTCCTCTCGGGATCTTGGGCACGCACGCACATGCACCCGGCGTGAGTTTTAAGCCACCGGGTCCAGGACGCGAACCGCGGTCAACTACGTGAGAGTCCAGCGATATAACCATTACGCTAACTGCTGGTTCCCTTAACCTTGTTTTCAGGAGTATTCACAGGGAGAGTTTCCTGGAAGAGGTGATATAGTATAGGCTGAATTTCAAAGGATGAGCAGGAGTTAGCCAGGCAGGAGGTGGATTATTTTTCAGGCTGAGGATATGACACAAAGGAATAGTGTCAAAGAACAGTGACTCACTGGTGAAGCTCCTGTGTAAGCCAAAAAGTACATTAAAATGTTTGAGAGGTCAGAATGAAGTTGCCAAGCTGGAGAATGGATAGTATTCATCCACTCATTCTTCATTCTTTCAGCAAATACTGAGCACTACTATATGTGAGGCACTTTTATAGGCACTAGGAATATAGCAGTGAGCATAGAGGGAAAATATCTGCTCCCAAGGAACTTATATTTGGAATGTGCTAGAGAGAGAGAGAGAGAGAGAGAGGAAAGAAGCAGAAGTAAATAGTATACAAAAGGTGACTAGGTATATGCAAAAAATCAGGGTAAGAGGGTTAGGAAGACTTGAGTGAGGTACAGTTTGTTTTTTCACTTTTATCTTTTCACTTTTATCATGTGTGTGTGTGTGTGTCTGTGCACACATGCACTGTTCTTTTAGAAAGTCTCGCGTTATAATCCTTCTGCCTCGGCCTCTGAGCAGCTAGGACCACAGGTGCATACCACTCCACCTGACTTTTTAGTGTGGGCTGGGAACTGAACTTGGGCTATCCATGGGGTCTTAGCCTGCCATGCAGAGATGTCTAGTGTGTACTATCACAGCTAAACGAGGGGTATAATTTTTTTTTGTTTTGGTTTGGGTTTGTTTTTTTTTTCCTGCACCTCCAGGCAAGGGGTATAATTTTAAGAGGTTGGAAGAGGTCTCACTAAGAAATTAACATGTGATCAAGGACTAGAGAGAGAGATGAGAAAATAAACTACTTGGGTAACTAAAGAAGAGCATTCCAGTCAGAAATTACAGCTAATGCAGATATCTGGAGGCTGGAACATGCCTGTTAGAAGGAATAAGGAGTAGTAAAGAGGCCAGGTAACATACAATCTGGTAAGTCAATGCAAGGATGGGCTCCTATTCCAAGTAAACGGGGAGGAAGGTTGGGACTATTAGAGGGTCTGCTTAGATCTGACTAATGTTTGAAAGGGATTGCTTATGTTATGGTGCTAGTAATTGAGTGTTGTGAAGGGCCAGAGTGACTCCATTTTGTTAAACCCACTTGCTGAGAATCGGCCCCATTTCAAGGAGGCAAGCTGATCATGCAGGAGAAGGTCGTAAGACCACCACCCCACTGGGGCTGGCCAATGATAAGAAACAAAGGAAATACCAAAGACCTGAAGTAGCTTTCTTGTCAATCAGTAAAAGACAACTATGTTTCTTGAAATCTTCAGCCAATGTGTAGCCGCCTGGGTGCATTCTTCAGCACCCCTGGACCTACCCCCCAACAGCCAAATAAAAACCCAGCCCAACTAACACCAGGACTCTCAACTCTGACCCTCTGTGCCAATAAGATTGGGAGTCCTAGCTCAAGCCCGAATAAAAGCGACTCTTCTGTGTTTATATCGGAATCAGCTCCTTGGTGATCTCTTGGGAATTTCACGACTGGGGTACAACAGTTGGAGGTATTCAGCTGGGTAGAAGTAGAGAGATTAGTTATGAGGTGTCTAAGTCTGCTTTTGTATTGCTAACAGAAATACCCAAGCCTGAGTAATTTTATAAAGATAGTACTTTATTTACAAACTCACAATTCTTCTGGCTGAAAAGTCCAAAGGTCTAGGCCTATAGCATACATATAAGCACAGAGGAGGGGAGCCAGCAGGTGGCATGGTGGTTAAGACCCTGAATTCCACGTGGCCAATTCCGTGGTTTGAGTCCTGAACCCAGTGGCTTGAAAAACATGTTGGGTGCATGGGTGTGCATACTCAAAATCACCAGGGGAGAATGGAGAAGGGATTGCAATATGGCCAACCCTCCTAGGGAGTGATTTCTCACTCTCTCTTTCTGTCTCTTGTACACATGCCCTATGACAAAAATCTAAAAATACAATAAAATAAGCATAGGAGATGGTCAGTATACAGAGACAGTTTGCTCTCTCTCATAGTAACCAGCTCTCATTAGAACTAACCTTTTCACATGAGAGCTAAAACTCACTGGGTCTCGTGAGACATTATTCATCTATTCACAAGAGTGCTACCACCATGAACCGATCACCACCCACTAGGCATTACCACCTCTCAACATCAAATTCTAAAACATGAAACTCAGGGGCACAAACCGTAACACTTCATGCTTTATCCTCAAGGCTCATGTTTTTCTCACATGAAAAATTATCCTAGTGATTCCCAAAGTCTTGACTCATTCCAACACTAACTCAAAAGTCCAAGTCCAAAGTCTCAAATTGAAACTCAAGTAGATGCCCTCCAGTCAAGAGCATAAAGCCGGGAATTGAACTCATACTCCCAAAATATTTTTTGCAGGGTAGAAACTTCCATTCCTCCTGATGGAATGAAAGTTTCAAGGGTGCAAAGACATTTGAGTCATGTTTCCCTGCTTGTTCAGTACAGGCTCCCAGCAAGTCCAAAACCCGAATAAGCATTTGATCCTGGAACTCAAAATGTGCTATTTCCTGGACACGCTAAGGGTATTGGGCCCCCAAAACATCATGTAGCCTGTGACTGTTTTCACCCTGATTCCTTCTATCAGTGGTAATCTCTAGCAACCAGTCACTCTGGCACATCTTTTTTTTGAGAGATTTTTGCAGTAGGGCACATGCACCCACCAGAGAGACAGAGAAGACAGAGATAGAAAGCAAGAAATTACCCCTTGGGGGGATGACTATGCTGCAATCCCTTCTTCTCCTTTCTCCTTTTGGGATTTTGGGCACACACACGTATGTGCCCGGCATGAATTTCAAGCAGCCAGGTCTGGGCCTTGAACTGTAGTTGACTATTTGGTAGTCCAGTAACATAACCACTATGCCATCTGCTGGTCCCTTGTCCATTGATTTATACATGTATGTTACCTACTTGACTTCCATAGGTTTTTTTTTTTTTTTTTTTTGGAGAGGTTTTTGCTATAGGGTGTGTGCGCTCGCCAGACAGACAGAGAGAAACAGAGACAGAAAGCGAGAAATCACCCCCCAGAGGGGATGGTCACACCGCAATCCCTTCTCCTCCATTCTCCTCTCGGGATCTTGGGCACGCACGCACACGCGCCCGATGTGAATTTTAAGCCACCAGGTCTGGGACGCGAACCGCGGTCGAATACGCCATTACGCTAACTGCTGGTTCCCCGTAGGTATTTTCATATTTTGCTAGACTACAGGATGCTGAATATCCTTGATAAGGTTTTGCCCTGGTGAATAAGGTCTCAGAGCCAAAAAAAAAAAAAAAATCCTTGGCGCAAAATCTCAGAAGAGAGGATCAGCAGATAGCATAATGATTACGTCCCTGGACTTCCACGTAGTCAACTGTGGTTTGACTCCCAGAACTGACAGCTTAAAACTTATGCTGGGTGCATGTGTGTGCATGCCCGATATCCTGAGAGGAGAATGGAGGAGAAGGGATTGTGGCATGGCCGTGTCCTCTGGGGGCTAATTTCTCGCTTTCTGTCTCTCCCTCTCTCTCCCTGGAGGGCACACGTGCCCTATACCAAAAATGTCTAATTAAAAAAAAAAAATCTCAGAAGAGTCTATTTGGTCCTGCTTGCAGCATCCAGTCTCCCACTCCACTGGTCTGGTAGGCACTTAATGTGCTGATCCCTAAGCTTGGTGGTGTCAAGGGTGCAAAGACATTTGAGGCATGTTGCCTGCCTGCTCGCAATACACTTAAAAATCTAGTTTAAAAGACATGACTGGGGCCAGCAGGTGGCATTGTGAGCATAAAGTGC